CGATCGGCTGGTTGTTTGTGGGTCCTCGAACGAGTAATTGCAATCTGTATTGCCTCGACATGACATCGACCGAGGGGCGGGAAGTCCGGGCGATCCGGTAACGGAGCTCCCAGTGTGCCCTAGCTGTTGAGTTCTGGGACTCGACAGCGTCCTTCCTGTTACCTTAGGAGCCGCTGAGTATTTCTGGGGGAAAACTCGGAAACCATTTTTATCGTGAACTGTGCCTTTGAATTCTTACGCTTTTGTTATTCACGATGCAGCCTTGACTCTTTGGTATGTTTCTTTCGATAAGACGGGTAAGTTAAGTAGTAGGCACCGATTAAAAGCACTACATTGAAGCCGTGAGCACTATGCAAGGTTTTGGTTGCCTCAGTGGGTCATCGATTTCAAGATGCGCAGCAACGATCCAGGCTTCTGGTGATAGGCATAAGCATCGGCTGTCAAATTTCGTGTTTCGAAGAGTATCATCTGTTTCAAAGAAGAAGCAGCCATTTCGTCGATTATAACATTTCTTCAAAGGAGTGAGTCCCGGCGAAACCGGGCAACCCGACTAGTGAATAAATTACCGCTCAATCTGTTCCCAGTGCTTGAAATTATTGTACGTTTAAGTGAATGTAAGTCCATGATATGGTCTTACATCGTTCAGCTAAGCTAAAGAAGTTTAGGTTGGCAAATAGCTTGCAGCCAGGTGTCGTCAAGAAGATCAATTCGTCAGCCATGGCTTTTAAGCAGATGGAAAATATTGCTTTTTTCTTGGCTTTTGCCGAAAATCACGTCGCGAAGTCGGAACTGTTCCAGGTTTTTGCTTTTTTCATTGGTAATCAATGGAAACACTCGAAGAACCTGAGTACATCAGCTCGTGCTCACTTACTCAAAATACCCTTGGAGTGTATCATTAGATAAATGTTCATGTTTTGGTTTCAGACAGTTGACTTATATGAAGCGCAAGACCCGAATGCAGTTCTGATATGTTTATCTTCCCTCGCGCGAAAAAGCGAAAAGTTGTTCGGGAAAGCTGGTCTTGGGCCGAAGGTTTGTTGCACCACTTTTTCTTCGTTCAAGAGGTGCTGGGAGTGATCACTCTCTTGCGAGCGCTTGTTGCAGTTTTTAACCAACTCAGGAACATCTTCTAGTCTGGTACGCTTTCGCTGTGAATCGGGTCTCATGTGGTTATTTTTCAGGAAGCAGAAGGAGAGAAGAGATCATGGACAGAAGAACAATTGAAGGCCGGACAAAATGTTATTGGCCTGCAAATGGGTAGCAACAAAGGAGCGACTGCTAGTGGCATCAATTTTGGTAACACTCGACACATGTGAAATATGATCATTCTGTTTTTGTTAGTTTTATTGTGTCATTTGATCAACATTTTGATGACTTCGCTTAGAATTACCACCTTTCCCTTCAGTTACGCGCTTTAACGCATAGACATCTCAATTCCGTCTGCTAACGCACGCCGCACTGACAGAATTGATTTATCTATTTTGAGTTATCTATTTTTGATTTCTTTTGCTTTTGCCTTCGAATATTATTTGTCTTTAATGCATACCATATTTTGTAGCTCATATTGGTTGTACGAATCAATTGAGAAATTTTTATCAAAAAGGGTGTGTGTAACAGCAAAGGGTTTAGTTTTAAGATTGTATGTCGAATAACTTTCCGGAGTTAAGAAGAACTTGCGATAGTTTTTGAAAACTACTGAAATATTTTTTAGTCACTAGTCCGAAGTAATAGAACATCAACTTTTTCTTTGAATACCATAAGGATCTGTAGACAGACAAGCAAACACGCTCTTCTCTCGCCATGGATGACACACAGCCACTGCTTATTCGACTTGCAGACTAACTTCCAACTATGAAACGATGGTTCTCGGAGTATACATACCATACTGCAAGAAGATCATTTTCAAAATGGAAGGGAGGATCCGACAACGAGATGCCGTTTCCTGAAAGACTCATGATGACTTAGACCTTTGAAGGGGCCATTAGCACACGGGAATAGGCAGCTGGAGATTGTTCCTAACGAGCGCAGGATAGCATCGCACACAACACGTACGATTGTAGACAACATTTATGTACTTATCCTACTATACATAACGCACTTATTGTGCTGGTGTTCACCTGCGAATATGTCTGTGTGGGTGCCGGTGTGAATGTCCGACCAGAAAACGTAACTCTTGTTCTCTTGACCCAAGACCTTTCAAGCTGGAAGGAGAACAGGCGGCAGGATGGGAACTCTGATGGGAACGGCAGGTAAAGCAGGGCAGGAACCCTTGGGCGGAATCGGGTTCTGCTCTTGGTCGGAGTGGGGTGCGGCTACACGCCATTAGTGTGTTTTACAAGGTGCTCTGCGATTCTATTGTCTTTCGCAGCGCAAGTGGGGTGTGATACATCAGATCGTCATCTCCGGTGCTATGCAATGCAATGTTTTACTTTGGATTATAAAGTTTCTCCGACTTGAGTATTTGAATGCAACTTACCAGGGAAGGATCCCAAGTCGAAGTGGCCATTTGAAATGAG